GGAACACTAGGTTGCTGTTGGAAGTGGTGCTAGTGAGGCCAGCAGGGGGCGCTCTATCTCTATTTCATAGGTCGCCACTGAGGAATGAACCACCAACTTATCCAGCATATGTTTTACGCAGCAGATGCCCTTCTGGCTGCAACACAGTACTGGGAAACACCCATACACATCAATTCACACACACACACACACACACACACACACACACACACGCATGTGTTAAACCCACGCCAACACGGGGAGAACATGCAAACTCCACACAGTAATGCCAACTGGCCCAGCTGGGACTCGAACCAGCAACCTTCTTGCTGTGAGGCGACAGTGCTATCCACTGAGCCACCGTGCCACCCCAAAATGATGTGTTATTTCAACCCAATTCCAATACGGACTAATCCAAGTGCTGGGTTACTTTTTAAGTAAAATCAATAGGATCAAATTTAACCCAATGTTTGGGTTAGTCCATATTTGGGTTAAAATAACCCAGCATTTCTTATGTGTGTGTGTGTTTTTAAGATAACCCCCATCAATACTAACCATGACCCTTACTGCTGATTGGCTGCTCATAACCCATCGTAAACCCGCCTCTTTTTAATAGATCCACTATCAATACTAGACACACCCCTTATTTCTGATTGGGTATTCTGCCCATAAACCTAAAAAAAGTCCCCGCCCCTTTTGGGCATGCCTGCTATAGTTTCTCGCCACGCTCCCTACAGCCGAGGGGCTGGAAGTGTGTTTTGGGACTCTGCCTGACAGTGATGTGATATTCATTTTTTTTCAAATGCTGCTTATTGCACCTTTATTATTATTATTTGAAACCTTACTGACCCCAAACCTGTTATCTGTGTAGATCAACATGCTTCTGCTGAATTTGTTTTGATCCTCACTGGCCTCCACGATGCTTTTGCAGTGAAGCACAGATCTGTGCTGTACATATTTCTCACTGTAGAGTGAGATTTTTAACATATATGTGCGTGTACAGTGTTCACTGCATGTACGGGTCACAAGCGGATGCTTTAGTCCAAGAGAGGGAGCGAATATACAGTCTGTTTACTATTCAGATAATAGCATATAAAGACAAATTAACAAGTGTGTGTGTGTGTGTGTGTGTGTGTGTGTGTGTGTGTGTGCTGGTTTTAGTAGTTTACACTGACAGAAATGTGTATAATGTCATGTGTGTGAGCAAGTTACTTAAATACTCAATTATTGTGGGTAATGAGGACATGTCCTGATGTCCTTGTAATTCAGAATGCTTAAACATCTTCATTACCAGGGTTTTCTTCACAGTCGAATATTGCCACAGGATTCCTGAGAGAGTTAATTTTACAGGTAGGATAATAGTAAAGTAGCTTTTACCGTGTTTAATAAATTACTCCTATGAAAAGTCCTTGTAAACCATCAATACCAACATGTGTGTGTTTGTACTGATGTGTTTTCCATGCACTCGCACCTCTCCCAACTGAAAATGAATCATCTGCCTCTATTTCAGGTTATGTGGAAAATGCAACTTCACCCAAACCACCATCACGTCTGTTCACTTCTCTCTCTCTCTCTCTCTCTCTCTCCCTCTGCACTCTCTCTCTCTCTGTCCAGCCAGACGCTCCACCCTTCCACACACACACACACACACACAGTGACCACAGCTGAAGGCACATCTGCATCAGTGCTCTTCTGCTCTGTTTACACACCGTCAGACAGACAGTAACATACACACACACACACACACACACATGCACAGCAGAAATCATCATCAGTCCCTGATTTATCAAGAGTTTTCTGGCTGTAAAACGTCACAGTTTCACTTCAGCAAAGTCGTGAAAACTATTCATGCTTTCAAGAGTCGGTTCTATTCCTGTTAAGAGTCTGCTTTTTTTGTTCAGCCATGCAATTCTGTTTTATTATATATGTGTTATTAACTGTATTCAGCTACAATTGTCTATGAGTTTAATATTCTGCATTATCTATTGTATTGCTTTATTAATTACTACTATTTTCTCTTAAATTTGAGACTCGGACGACGCAGTGGCGCAGTAGGTAGTGCTGTCGCCTCACAGCAAGAAGGTCGCTGGGTCGAACCTCGGCTCAGTTGGCATTTCTGTGTGGAGTTTGCATGTTCTCCCTGCCTTCATGTGGGTTTCCTCCGGGTGCTCCGGTTTCCCCCACAGTCCAAACACATGCGGTACAGGTGAATTGGGTAGGCTAAATTGTCCGTAGTGTATGAGTGTGTGTGTGTGAATGTGTGTGTGGATGTTTCCCAGAGATGGGTTGCGGCTGGAAGGACATTCACTGCATAAAAACGTAGTGGATAAGTTGGCGGTTCATTCCGCTGTGGAGACCCCGGATTAATAAGGGGACTAAGCCGACAAGAAAACGAATGAATGAAATTTGAGACTCTACAAGGTTTATGCATTCATAAGTTAACAAAAAAATAAGTATGATGAATATCTGTGCTGATTTATTAATTAAACATAGTTAATAATACTAATAATAATACTAACGATTTATTAAACTCCACAGTTGTGCTTGTTAACATTTAGTAATGCATAGCGAGTTAACAAATTACTTTATTTTCATTTATTTATTCATTCTTTTCGACTCAGTCCCTTTATTAATCTATTATAATCTATCAATTTTAGCATACCCAATTCACCTGTACATGTCTTTGGACTTGTGGGGGTAACCCACGTGAACACGGGGAGAACGTGCAAACTCCACACAGAAATGCCAACTGACCCAGCCGAGGCTCAAACCAGCGACCTTCTTGCTGTGAGGCAAACATGCACCACCGCCCATATTTTTCTTCATTAACCAACATTAGCAAATATTACAATAAATGTATTGCTTATTAAATTACATTTACTAATTAACTGAACCTTATAGTAAAGCATCAGCTATATTTGTGTGAATTCATATCAAACTATCTAATTAAATGCAATGAAAGTCATACTTTTTTTTCAGTTTACTGTTATTCTGTGATTTAAATACCTATTAACTCATAGTTTTAATATTTTCCTTATATGCTAATGTCACACAGCAAAGAAAATTAATCAAAAATATTCAACTCTGTTTATGTATTTGTTTTTATTTAACTATGCGGCTCTGTTATATTTGTTGTTTTTATATAATAACAATAATTATCATTACTTTATTTTATAGCATTTTACATAAAATACGACTTAAAGTGCTTCACAAGCACAAAGGTAATATTAAAAACACTATAAGCAGAACATACTCAAAGCTTTGAATGATTCAACAAGTAGAAGCAAACACAGAAAACAACACGCACACAGAACAAAAACAAGAAGAGCAAAATATAAGCAACATTCAAAGTAAGTCATGAAAACAAGAAGACTATTATACAGATGTTATCCTTTCACCCCATTCAAGTATGCAATTGTATTATATGTTCTGTTTTAACAGCACTGTATTTAATCTAGCATTAAAACAAATATTAAAAACAGCATAAGGTCATCAAAGCTTTGAATTAATCAACAGGCAGAAGCAAAATACAGAGAATAAAGTGCACACAAAAAACAAGCAGATGCAAATGTAAAGCAAGAACATTAACAATAAGTCATAAAAACACAAAGAGAAATGTTATCCGACTATTCTATTACACTTTCACTCCCATTCAAGCATGCAATTTTATTATATTACAATTTATATGTACTGTTTTAACTGCACTGGATATGATTTTGCATTAAAATATATATTAAAAACAGCATACGCATAAGGTAATCAAAGCTTTGAATGATTCAACAACAATGAAAAAAATATTCAAAGATGATTCCTTGCATTAACTTAATTTTTTTAAGTTAAGGGGTTGTAAACAATGTTTACGTTGCATTTAAACAAATAAATTAAGTTGAACATTACTAAATTTAATTTGTTTGTTTAAATTCAACACAAATACATTGTTTGCAACGATTTGGCAGACAACATTTAAGCAAAATACAGAGATTAAAGTGCACATAAAAACCAAGCAGAAGCAAATGAAAGTAAGAGCATTACAAATAAGTCATAAAATTAAGAAGAAAAAAATATTATACAAATGTTATCCAACTATATTACTTTCACTCATTTTCAAGTATGCAATTTTATTAAATGATCATATTGTACTGTTTTAACTGTATTGCTGCCTTTTATATATACAAAAACTCTGTTTAGTTTAGGTTATTTGCATTATACTTCACTATACTCTCCTCATATGGAGCATTTCATCATCCAGACAGAGCTGAAACTGAACAGAGTGAGTGATGAGCTGAGGGGATTTCCCCACATCACTGTTCTGTCTGGCATTTACCACAGTAGCCACAGTTTCCACCAATACAACCGCTAATATTACTATCAGCACAGTACTCATACAGCATTAATATGAGGAGCAGTATGAGAAGCTGGCGACACTTTTATTATTGTAAGTTTTGTTTCAGCGCCATTTTTATTTGTTTAGTCTGATGACAGTCATGACTATAAACAAATGCTGGGCTGAATTGAACCCACTGTTGAATCAAATGTAGACAAATCCAACGTTAAGCTAATGTTTTTGTTAATTAAACTTGATTACACCTTTTAACCCTCAACATTAAGTCAATATTTGAGCTAATGTCAAACTGTTCAGCGTTTAATATCAACCGCACAAGCCGTTTTCCATTAATACCGTAAATAAATAACTAGCATCAATGGTATTTTCCCCATCACTGTGGTGATTTTGTAAATACAGCACATTCCTACAGTCGCTTCAAACAAAGAAACACCAGTTCCTTTCATTGCAGACCTGCTGGACAGACAGTGGTTATGAATAAGTTAGCTTGTGAACGAATTCCAGCAACAAACTCAACAATAAAAGTTCGTCGATTTGGTTTTATGCTAATTCTTTCATGCTAATTACATCATCGGTCGCGACGTATCTATCGTCCATCGCGTTTTATTCACTCTGAAATGTGTTTTAACGCAGACATCCGTGCTAATCAATGTCAAAAGTAAACTCTGTGAGGACTCACCATGACTTTCTCGTCCTGTTTGACTACATCGCTGTGTCTGGCATTAATATCCAGCTGCAGACCCGCACTCAAAGCTGTGTTTTAGCGGTGTTTTCTCTGTTTATTGTTACTCAGTGTGAAGTTTAGTGGAAAGCGGGAGTTATACGGTGGAAACTGAGAGAAAAGGAGGCATTTGAGTCCCTCCCATCTGCTGAAAAAGAGCTGCTGTGAGGCGGACTCACTCTTTCCACTGACCGCGGTGAAGTCTAGAAGGGATACAGCTGCGGACACTTGGCATTACCGTGAGGGTTTATTTTAAGGGTAGACCTTAATAAAACACAATTTAATGGGTAACTTAATAGATAATATAAATTATTATTTAATTATAAATAATGACTATAATTTTTAGTAAGCCATCAAACTCTAAAATCCTCCACATCTGCATTAAACAACCTATACACACACTGTAAAACATGATGCACTGCAGAAATAAAATAACCAAAAGGGAAAAATAGGTTTCTTTGAGTTTTTGCTTTTTTCTATATCTAAACATTGCTGAAAATAATAAATAAATTATTACATTCATATAAAATCAAAGAAATTAATATAATAAATACATACATAAAAGAGAAAATATATTTATTTTTGAGTTTTTTATTTTATTTAAAATAAATATTTAAAAAGTCCTCAAAAATAAATAGATATAATATTAATATCAATAACAATAAAGAAAAAAAGAAAGAAAGGAAAAAAAAATAGCTGTCTTGCTTTTTTAGTTTTTGTCTTTTTTCTAGTACAAATTTCTAAAACAATTCTCAAAATAAATATAACAAATAAATAAATAAACAAATAAAAATATTTGTCTAGACCAAATATCTATAATCCCCATAAATAAATAAACATATAGTAATAATACTACTACTACTAATAATAATAATAATAATAATAATAATAATAATAATAATAATAATAAATAAATAAATAAATAAATAATTTTAATTAATATTTTTTTCCAGTCTAATTATCTAAAACAATTCTCAAAATAAATACAAAAATATAATAAATAAATAAATAAATAAAAGATTTTTCAAGGCCAAATATCTTAATAATCCTCATAAATAAATAAACATAATAGTAATAATAATAAATAAACAAACAAATAAATAATGTTCTAGCTTTTTTAGTTTTTGTCTTTTTTTCTAGTCCAGTTATCTAAAAAATTGCCCATAATATATATATATATATATATATATATATATATATATATATATATATATATATATATATATATATATATATATATATATATATATATATATAATAAATAAATAAAATATTTTTCTAGCATAAACATCCAAATAATCCTCATAAATAAACATATAATGATAATAAAAACAATAATAATAATCCTCATAAATAAATAAATAAATAATAGTTTTCTTGCTTTTGTAGTTTTTGTCTTTTTCTAGTCATATTTATTGCTCCTAATAAATACAAAAATATAATAAAATAATAAATAAAAGTATTTTTCTAGTCAAAATATTTAAAAATACTTAGATGAAGAAGTAAAAATATTAAGTTTTCAGACATAATAATAGCCTAAGTGTAAATTTAGCGAGGTTTTCCTTAAAACTAAATTTTCTGCTAATATGAATTAAAATAATCTTGTTTAAGACTGAATTAGAAATATTTTTCTTACCCCATTAAATTAGCTTTTACTAAGAAATAATTAACTTCATTTTAACTATTTGTGAGCACATTTGTTTTATGTAATTGATCATAAAACAAATTAAACTGAGAAAGAAACATGATTGTGTTATTGGGTTTGTCCATGTTTGACCCTATATTAGTAATACAGACAAGTCGAACCGTTTTAATTAAAGTTAATTTGAGTTAATAATTCAGACTGTTAAATATTATTATTTTATTGTTACCAATAAATCAAAAGGTAACAAGGAGTTAAAAATTGTAAATCGAATTTAAATGAAAGAAGCAAACATAATATTAAATAAATACTCCGACATTGGATTTATCCATGGTTGAAGCAATATTACATGAAAACCCAGATGTTTTTAGAGGCTAGTACATTTGTAAGATTATTGACTATTCCTAAACTGCCACATAAAGATCATTTAGCCTCCCGTTTAATCTCCAAACACTAATAATATAATATTCTTGGCATCCTTGAAAAGAAAAAATGATCTAATGATTAATTTCCCAGACAATACCGTTACAATACTCGACTCGAATGCGTGTGAAGGCCTCTATCTGCTGGTCAACACATGAATTACAGCAGAAGAAATAACTGAGTCGAGCAGTTTCATTCCCATTTAAACACAGTGCAGGGTGACCGCGTGTCCTCTCATTATCCGGATTGTCCTGGCCGGGGTTTATACATTGCCTAAAAATATCCGCGTTTGGTTTGGTCGTGCTTTTATGTTTTTAATATACAGCCTACAGAGACTTTAATAGACACCAATACAAAAATATAGTAAAATGAGATTAAAATGCATCGAATTAAAGTATAAAAACACACTGGAAACCACTGATATAATCATGGCTCAAGTGTTGCAAGCTTTTTTTCTACTTCTTGATTGTTTTTTATATGTGTGAATGTGCATTTTTGCTTGCTGAAGGCGATGATTAATATCTGTATTATTAAAATATCCTTTATTTTATGTTATATGATTATTTTTGGATGTTTATATGGTTTAATATTTGATTCACTGCAACAAAATCAACATAAAAAGGTCTGAAAACTATTTAGTATGATGTCTAAGAGAGCTCAAATTATAAAACACGTGCAAATAGAAAGCAATTACTAAAGAAATGTCAAGTTTAGCACACATCTTCATCATTACTTATTAACAGAACACACATCTGATGTGATTTGAGAGCAGATTAAACACACTTCTCAGTAAAACCACTGAGATTAAACCAGCGGATAAAGCAGCAGCAGATAACAGAGCAGAAGACACAGGAGCAGAGCAGAACTCAGTCATCATTGGGGACGTTGTTCTGCCGTGAACACAGCGCTGTAGAAATCTCCTGAATATATCAAGGTAAGACAGAGCTGTTGTTAGTGTTTGACTGTAAGTCATTAAAGATGAACTGAATGTAACACAGACTAGAATGCAGGAATGTTTTCAGCCGGATGATTCTGACTTGTTGGACTTTTAGCTGCTGTTATGAGCTTTGTGTCTTCTGAAAGCTGCTCAGCATTTATTCAGCGCTCACACTTTACACTCACTCATGTGCTCGTGTGTGTTCACAGATGAACAACACAGAGAGAAACTACTGGGATATACATTATCCATTTAGATGGAAGTTTTCACCTGAAGAGCTGGATTTAAAGATCAGATCCTGCATCTTCACCATCATCGGTGTGTCTGCAGGTCTACCAGCTCTTGTTTGGTCTGTCGGTGAACTGATTGAGCACAGAAGGAATGGACACCGCATTTCAGCCTTCATCATCCTCCTCCTCCTCACTGACTTCACTGAGCTTTACTTGAGTCCCTACATAATCATAAAGGCTTTCTTAGAGGAGTTCCTGGGGTGTTCAGACTGGACATGTTGTTTTGTTCTGTCTTTATCCTTATCTTCAAGAGTCTGCGGTCTCCTCCTGAATCAGCTGGTGGCGCTAGAGGGGATTCTCTCAGTCAGATATCCGCTGTACACTGCTGCTGTTTTCTCCTCACGCTGCTTCATCGTTTTCTACATACTTGCGCTTCTCTGTCTCTTCATCTGTGGACATTTTTGGTTTCATACAAATATGACAGGAACATACGACTTAGTGTTTCCTGTTCCTGCATTAATCGTGTCTGTGAACACGTGGATAATCTCTTGTGGAGCTTTATGTTCTGCTGAGCGTCGCTCTCACACATCCAGGAAAGCAGATCCTCATATTCTGGTGATTTTCATCATCACTCTGCTGGTGCTTTATGTGTATCTGACTGCATTAGTCTTTGATTGGTATATTTCATATGCAACTATGCTCAAAGTTGTTTATAATTTTTCTTCCTTCCTGATGAGTGTGAGACTGATCTCAGACCCTCTCCTGTGTGTGCTGGTCTGCAGGCAGAATCCCAGTGTTTAAACAACAGGGGCCTCATGTACGAAGACTTGCGTTGAATTAATACTGAAAACATTACGTGCACACAAAGCTGAGTAAAAATTCAGATGTATGAAACATATTCTCTTTGTAGATCCGACTTAGTGTGAAACTGAGCGCACGTGCACGAGCACAAAACTCCTCCCTGCCTCCTCCCCCATATCAATATGCTAATGACTCCACTGTGGCAAAACCAAAGGAAAAAGCAACAGCAAACCAAGCGGCAAGCTCCCGCTCTCCCTCAGGAAGCCAATACGGAAGTAACTAAAACTGCAATTCATCCGAAATTCAGCTAGTCCTGGCCGCTCCTGGCTCCAAAACAGAGCAAATTTCAATTGAGCCCACTGTTAGAATGGCCAACTTTACCGCAGACAAAAAGGTGTTTACAGCCTGCTACAAAGAAAGATTTTGGTTCATACAGCTAATATTACCCTTCATGACAACTTTGAGGGGGGTGAATTTATTTATAACTCATCCGTTTCCTTTATATTAAGTTATATTAAGTTTGCATAATTAAGGGCGTGGCCACTTGAGTGACAGCTAGGTCTTGTTGGTCGCCGTCACGTCACCTCAGCTGAATCCTGCAGATTAGCCACTGAACTCGGCATATTTATCATATTTCTGTGTTGATTTATGTGGCTTTACACACTCAACTGCCTTTTGGACTTGTTTCCTACACTTATTTGATGGCATGGCATGCTGAGTGCACTTAATTGTGCTCACAAACCATTCACGTGGCCTCCGTTTCCCATGTGAGTAAAGTTATATACTTATATACCATCTCTATACATGTATTTGTTTTATTTAAGATCATTTATCGTTTATATTTAGAGCTGTAATGCACTCCAGAATCTGTCAGATTGATTAGCTGTGGGCTGTAGATCAGTCATCTGAAGTGTTGTCATACAGTGTTATGCTGGATTTCATCAATAGTCTTACATTAACTAACACAGACTATATCTGAAGTGTTTGGAAGTGATTTGCGCTTTCCTCCTGTTGAAAACGTCATAAGAACAATGTTTAGTGGCTCTGTGTATTACAGCAGTGTTTTTAAAAGTCTAAACACTTTATTGATATAGTGTACAACCAAGCAGAAGTGGTCAGAACACAAGCGAGTCGCAGGTGATAAAGTATTAAGCATTTCTCCTAAAGTAAAGTGTGTCTGAACCAGGTCCAAGCTAAATGCTAGCAGGTGTCTGTAGCTCCGCCCACTCTCCGCCTCTTTGCCCTTGTTTGGTATCCCGCCGTGGGTGTGATGACGCGTAAACAAAATGGCGACGGTTGGCCGCGCCTACTTGTGGC